CAAGCCTCTCAGTTAGCCTTCAGCCCCCTGGAACAACAAGGGTTGCCAAGCTCCAGGTGGAGGCTGGAGATCTCCTGGAATGACAACTGATCTTCAGACTACATAAACCATGTATTTGTTTGTTTGTTTAAAGCATTTATTCCACTTCTCCTGGAGAAAACGGCTCCTTTGCGAGGTGGACTGCATAGCACTATACCCTACCGAGGTCCCTCCCCTCCCTCAACCCCCCTCTTCCAGGCTCCACCCTCAAATCTCCAGGTATTTCTGAACTCGGAGCCGGCAGCACTTGGAACAACATCCCAAGCTTCCTGCTGGCCTGTGTCCAATGTAAGTCCTCTTTCCACCAACCCACCAGACTCTGGAAGCTTCGCCTTGCCTTGCATGTTCCAGGTATTTCTGAACTCGGAGCCGGCAGCCCTTGGAACAACATCCTAAGCTTCCTGCTGGCCTGTGTCCAACGTACGTCCTCTTTCCACCAACCCACCAGGCTCTGGAAGCTTCGCCTTTCCTTGCATGTCTCCCTACGGCCTTCAGTCCAAAGCAGACAACCAGGGTGTAGAGCCAAAGGCTCTTGGTTTGAATCCCTGGTGATCACAGCAGTCTCACCTTCCACTTGTCCAACTTCAAAGCTTTTCTACTCACAAGCAGCCTACACGGGGACTGTGCTCATCTTCCTGGGCCACAAACCAACAAACACGGTGACACGCTGGCTTAACATGCTCAGTACAACTTTTTACAATCATCATATAAATCTTTTGTCACATTACAGAGAAGTCCATCCTTATACTATTACAGAGAAGTCCATCCTCATGATGTTACAACGCACACCCGGATCATTTCGTCAAAGTCTTCCTCAGGAGTATTCCCATGTTCTTCAAACTAACAAGAGGTCAATAACTTTGAAGAAAATAAGAATACTCCTGAGGAAGACTTTGACGAAATGAGCCTACATCTGGGTGCGCGTTGTAACATCACGAGGATGGACTTCTCTTTGTAAGTATAAGGATATACTTAGGGTTGCCATCCCCCCCAGTAGGGCCAGGGGATCCCCCACTTTTGGGGGGCCCAATCTGCCACCGGCCAGCTGGCTGGCGGAGGAAGCCTCACCCTTAAACAGCAGCATCCAATGGGGACGCCGCTGATGCAATGGTGTCACCAGTAGCAACATCATCATACTGGGGCTGTCGCACAGCGACACTCTAGCTTTCAGGGGGAACTCTATGGTTACCATAGAGTTTTTGCCCTGAACGCTAGAGCATCACTGCACAATAACCCTAGCATGATTACGTCACTACTGGAGCCCCCCACCAGACAAAAGGTGAGACCTGGCAACCCTCTATGTACTTCTCTATAATGCGACAAAAGATTTATATGATCATTGCAAAAAGTTTTACTAACGTGTTAGCCAGCATATCACAGTGTTTGTTTGTATTTCCTGTGATATATACTGTGATCCCATGTTGTTTTTTCTAATCTTAGTGGACCGCCTGCTTGCTTGCCTACCCCACTCCCAGCCCAGGAAACACCAACCTGGCCCCTGAAGCTAGGAAAAAAGAGCAGATTCTTTCCATCTGTTTGTTTGTGCCGGAGTGGGAGAATGGGGATCTGCTATGCAGATACACTCACAGATACAACACACAGAAACTGCCAGAAAAGACAGACACATTTTCAAACCAAAGAGAGCTGCTTGGATGCTCCTTTTCATCCAGGTTAGCACTGAACGGCAGGGGCCTTACCTAGGGTTGCTGTGTGGGGCTGGGGATCTCCCGCTATTACAACTGATCTCCAGATGATAGAGAACAGTTCCCCTGGAGAAAATGGCTGTCTTGGAGGGTGGATTCTATGGCGCTGTAAGGACGGTGAGGAGGAGGAGGAGAGATGTAAGGAGGGTGAGGAGGAGGTTTTATACCCCACCCTTCACTACCCAAAGGAGTCTCAGAGCGGATGACAATCGCCTTCCCTTCCTCTCCACACAATAGACGCTCTGTGAGATGGGTGGGGCTGAGAGAGCTCTGAGAGAACTGTGACTGGCCCAAGGTCACCCAGTTGGTTTTATGTGGAGGAGTGGGGAACCAAAACTGGTCCTTCAGATTAGAATCCACCACTCTTAGCCACTACACCAAACTGGAGAAGGTGGTGTTAAATAGTGGGTTTAACACGGCAGAGGCGAAGGCAGAGTGATTTCAGCAAGCAGCAGTTTATTGAATCTTAACAGGGATGCTTTACATGGGGCAACTGCCCTACCTATGTACACCTAAGCCACTCCCAGCCCCCATGCAATTAGTGAGTTAAAATCGCCTCCCGGCTCCAGATTGGCTGGCTGTCCTCAGGGGCCAATCCGCAGGCAGGTTCCAGGATCCTGCCTGCCTTTGTTCTGGGGCTTCAAGCTCCAACTAGGTGGCCTGCCCAGACAAGCCCAGACATGCCTCTCCATGCTCCCTCTAGGTGGCCTGCCAGACAAGACCAGGCATGCCTCCAGCAGCAGTTAAGCTGGAGTGGAAGATTGCTCATGTCCAGACATAACAGGTGGGCAGAGCACAACCTGAAGCTAGCTCATGTCTTTCTGCTGGCATGCAAACCTGTGGATCTGTGCCAATGCAGACGCATACGACTTTCAGAAGTCTGCTTTCAGTCCAAGCGGATCTTTTTCTTGAGTAAAGGCTGAAAGCGAACGTGAGTCACTGGGAACTGGCTACCACAACACTGCATGCTAGGGTTGCCAAGTCTGGTAGGGAAATTCCTGGAGATTTGGAAGGTGGGGCCTGGGAAGAGTGGGGTTTGGGGAGGAGAGGGGTATAATGCTATGGAGCCCACCCACTAAAGCAGCCATTTTCTCCAGAAGAAGTGATCTCTGTCGGCTGGAGATAATTTGTAATTCTGGGAGACCTCCAGGTCCTGCCTGGAGGTTAGCAAGCCTACTGCATGCACACAGTGTGTTCCATGGATTGAAACAGATCTACCAGGATGCTGAAAAATGCTTCACATCCTAGAGAAATCTTGTCTGCCTTACGCAAGTTGCTATAAATCCAGGATTGTCCTGAGTGAGAATAATTCCGCCAATACTAAAAGGGAAGGGGGGGGATCCTAGAATTTCCTCTTCAGCTCTTAGCAGTTTGTCAAGAAGAAATCTTCCCCAGACCCATAGGGAAGAACAGTGCACAACGTAAAAGGAAAGACCGTTCTCTCACCAGTCCTAGAGTTGGAGATTGAACAAACCAAAGTTAAGCTTCCATGGGATTTGTGTCTGTGTGAAGCTAAGCAGGGTCAGCCCTGCTTGGTATTTGGATGGAATTCCAGGGCTGCAACTCAGAGGCAGACAACAGCAAATCACCTCTGAACATCTCTTGCCTTGAAAACCTCACCAGGGGTCTCCAAAAGTCAGCTGCAAGGTGACTGCCCTTGACACACACAAAGTGCCATCAAGTTACAGCCAACTTATGGTGCCCCCGTAGGCTTTTCAAGGCAAGTGATCAAGCAGAGGTGGACTGCCATTGCCTTCCTCAGCAGAGTCTTCCTTGGCGGTCTCCTGTCCAAGTGTTGACCCTGCTTAGCTTCTGAGATCTGACAAGAATGGGCTACACTATACTATTCCACATCCCCTGCAGGATTTACCTCTGAAAAAATATGCTTAAGACAAGGCTGATGATTTCTGCACAAGGAGAATACTTAAAAAGCGGGGGGGGGGGTGTGCCCTAATTTCTATGGAGTGCCCTAATTTCTACGGAGTGCTAACCCTCATTCCTTTCGGACACTAACTTGCTGCGGAAAGGAACAAGAGGGGGAGCTTATCATGACCAAACAAAGAAACAAACAAGGGAGGACATGCCCAATAACGACTCCTTTTAAATATCAATTAATTATTCTACATGAGAAAGAATTTCCAAAAATAAACACCAGGTTATGGAAGAAGTGATGGGATCTTCCTCAAGGTCCCAAGTCAAAGGCCCTGGCCTGGATAGTCCAGGCATGCCCGATATCATCAGATCTCAGAAGCTAAGCAGGGTTGATTCTGGCAAGTACTTGGATGGGAGACCGCCTTGGAAGGCCAGCAGGTGGGAGGAAGAAGAAGAAGAAGAGAAGAGATTGGATTTATACCCCACGCTTCACTACCCAAAGGTGTCTCAGAGCGGCTTACAAACTCCTTTCCCTTCCCCTCCCCACAACAGACACCCTGTGAGGTGGGTGGGGCTGAGAGAACTCTGACACAAACTGCTCTTTTTCAAGGACAGCTGTGCCAGAGCTTGTGACTGACCCAAGGTCACACCAGCAGCTGCAAGTGGAGGAGTGGGGAATCAAACCCGGTTCTCCCAGATTAGAGTCCGCGCACTTAACCACTACACCAAACTGGCTCTCGGGACAGGGGCAGGCTTTACTCAGACACCTCTCTGAATATCCTCCAGGCCTCCAGTAGAGGTCAGTCACCAGAGGTCGCCATGACTTCCAGGTGCACACACACACACAATACAAAAAAGAGTCCCAAGTCACAGCTATCGCACCAATGCAAAGTGGGATCAAACCCAATAGCTTCACCCAGGGAACCCTGTAGTGCCACATGGGTGCTCGAAAATCCTTCATTATTTCCAGATCCTTTGTCAAACTGTAATACCTCAGTCTCCTCCAGTGTTCCCTCTAAGCTGAGTTCGTGTGAGCTAGCTCACACGAACTCAGCTTAGAGGGAACCTTGGTCTCCTCCCTAAAGAATCAGGAGAATTGACAAGTCTGAATAAAGAAGCTCGAGACTTATGAAGACAGGAACAGAGTCTGAGATCTTGACCCACTGCCCAAAGCTTTCAAGAGCCTGGTTTCACATGATAGTTAACCAGAAAGTTCTGATTTGGACCTTGACCTGGATACCTTCCTAGTTTGGTCCTTCGTCTTTGTGCAAAGAGTAATACAGCCCTGAAGGTGTGTGTCGTCGACAGCGCCCCATGAATAGAAGAGCAACGCAAACTTACGAGCAGCAACAAAACAACCCGACTGAAGGCAAAGGCGGCTCTTACCTGGTCCCGGATCCTCTCCTGCTGACCTCGGATTGCCAGGGCATGCTGGGGGTACTTGCTCTTCAAGTGATCCATAAAGGCATCCCGCTTCCGTTCCATCTCAGATTTCTGGAGCCCTGTAAGGGCTTCCAGGCTTTGGGCCGCGATGACAGTGTGCCGGCGTTCTGAGGTGTGCACCAGCCCTACATTGGAGAAGCGGCGTGTGCCGTTGCCCAGGGTCCGGTATTCCCGTGGATACTCTGCATCATCTGCCGAGATCATGTGGGCGCTAGTCCTCTCGGGATCTACATGGAATTGGGAGGGAGGGAGAGAAGCAGAGGGGAGGTCAGGGCACCTTTCTCTCTCTCTGCCTTAGGATGGGAAGGGGACTGGGGATTCCAGATGTGCTAGGGTGGCCAGCACTGGGTTGGGGAACACCTGGAGATTTGGGGGAGGGTGGAGCCTGGGGGTGTGTGGTTTGGGGAGGAGCTTCGGCAGCTAACAATGGCACAGAGTCTATCCTCCAAAGCAGCCATTCTCTCCAGGGAAACTAATCTCGATAGTCTGTAGATAAACTGTAATAGCAGAAAATCTCCAGGTACCACCTGGAGGTTGGCAAACCTGTGAGATATACAGAATGGAGTTGGGGGGATTTATTTAAAAAAGGAAGAAGGAAGAGGAGGAATAAGCCAATCAGGGTTTATTAGCGAGGAGTGATCGATTTTTACCATTAGGTGGTTATCCTTTTTTGTGTGGGGATGATCCCACATGGGAATTTGGCAGTCCCCAATTTCTCCCCCTAAGGGAATCAAGCTTTTGTGAGTGCCTTCTCTTCTCGAGTAATCAGCCTCAGAACTGGATCATACCCTTAAAGGGAAAGTAGTCAAATTTCAGGATTTGTAGTCAGGTGAGGAGGATTTGTAGTCAGGTGAGAGGCGAGGAGAAGGAGACCCGTTAACAATCACTTTCGGCTCCAAAGTGATTTCCCGGGGTGGAGGTGGGGGGGGGGATGCAGGAGGGGAAAGGGTGTGGGGCAGAGAAGGCCGTCCTCCCAGGAGAAGACAAGACATGAACAGATCAAGACAAGGAGTGGGGGTGGGGACCACAGAGACATCAAAACTGCCCGCCAAGGAGCCAAAATCAAAATTTAAAACAGTCAAGAGACCTCAGACCGAGGATGACGGCCAAAGTGCCCCTTCTCAAGAGGAGGCAGACGGTAGGACAAAGACAGACAGATGTTCTGAAACAGCAGACATGAAAAGAAAGGAACAGAAATAAAACAAAAATGAAGTGCCAATTGGTTCAGAAGGGAGGGTGTGGGGGTTTTTCGGGTGGAATTCCACCCTGAAACTTAGCAATGGCCAACGTAACTCAAAAGAGGTGGCTGGCCATCGCAACATCTGCCCCAAGAAAAGGAAGCACAGACAGGCCTCAAAAATCTCTCTGCCCGTGCAGACGTCTTGACTCATTCACAGAGCAGGCCGAAAATATCTCACATCGATCAAAGTGCCAAGCCATCTTTGCACACTGTTGAGACTCCCTCACCAAGGCCCATTCATGGTCCCCGAACAGAAGCTCCTTCCATGATGGCCATACCGGTGCACACATACCCTACTACTATAACACATGGGATGGCTATAGGGTTGCCAGGCCCATGGTCTGGCGACACTCTGCTTTTGGGGCAAAATTTATGTATTTATTTATTTATTTGATTTTTATCCCGCCCTCCCGCCGAAGCGGCTCAGGGCAACGTACAACATCATACAATAAAACAACTCTTCTAAAAGTTCTATGGTTTGAGGTCAAAAAATCCATAGAGTTTTGCCCAAAATGCAGAGCATCGCTGCGAAACGTCCCTGACTTGATGATGTCACTTCCACGTGACATCATCACATTTGGGACATCAAGCAACATCCCTATTCGCCCCAGAACGCCCCTCCAATCCCCCCACCAGCAAGCCAGAGGGATCTGGCAACCCTAGACAGCTAGGCATTGGGGTTGGATCCCACCAGCTTTTTCACTCCATGTCCCCCCATTCCCCTCCTTTCTAGAGTCCCTGTCCCTCACGGCTTTTGTCCAGGCAGATCCCATGATCCCCAGCATAGCCTTACTGGGCAATCCTTCATTTTTCACCAGCAGTAAAGCTGGTTGGATCCAACACTCTGGGCTGTGTATGTTTCAGAGGGAAAAGAGAAGTCATGTTCCACACCAAGGAAACCCAAACCCTGAACTACCTGAGGGAAAAAACTACATTACACAACCTGAAAACGATGCAAAATCAAGTTATTTGCACTGCAACTAAAATCAAGTTATTTGCACCGGAAGCAACTGCCTTAGGACATCTCATTTATGGATCCAGCCCCGATTGCTCCCGTGGATGGATTATTCCTTCCTTCTTTTTGTTCTAAGTAATAAGAGAACCACAGCTGCCAAATTTAAAGGGACAAGAAAACAATGGGGCTGTGTAACATGCTATTGCAATACTGAAAACATTTTCACAACCGTACATATCTTCATTTTTACAAAATCCCCAATACTTTAATGAAGATATAAAGAGTCCAGAACTTCAAAATACAAGATGCAAAGAAGGTCCAAATCTAATCTAATGAAGAATTTAAGAGAAAATGTTTGTGCAGGTAAAATTCAAATTATAAATGAACTTTTCAAAGATAATAAATTATAAAAATTGCAAAAATTGTAAAATCTTTAAAAATGGTTAAAGCCTGATTTAAAAATTGATACAAACTGTTTCTAAAAATGTTTAAAATGTTAACAGTGTTAAAATGTTAAAAAAACATATTTTTTTAACTATTGAATTAATGTTTTATAACGTTACAATTGGTTCTTCTCTGAGGAAGACCTTGGAAACGAACACATTATCCAGAAACTTCATTAGATTAGATTTGGAACTTCTTTGCATCTTGTATTTTGAAGTTTTGGACTCTTTATATCTTCATTAAAGAATTGAGAATTTTGTAAAAATGAAGATATGTATGGTTGTGAAAATGTTTTCTTTTTGTTGCAGGCAGTGTGCACTATCCAATGGCAGAATGGCTGTATCCCCTCAGCCATATCAGAATTGCATGCTGATATCACTCTAGGGTTGCCAACTCCAGGGGTCACAGGAGCAGAGCTTCGGCAGTAAAGAGCCCAGGGGGCGGGCACATGCAAGAAGCCCCACCCCCTGCTCCCAGCAGCCCTCAGTCAGAGCAAGAAGCAGCCAGGTAAGTTGCAGAGCATCCCCCGGCCCCCTGGTCCAAAACAGTCCAGTGGCACCTTTAAGACCAAGTTTTATTCAGGTACAAGCTCTCCCTCTTCTGCGAGGACAGATCTGCACGTTCCTCCACCCCCCAATAGCTAGCAATCCAAAACAGTCCAGTGGAGCCTGAGCAGTGGGTGTTGCCTTCTGACACACTTCTGGTGATGTCAGGGGGAGTGACATATGCAAATAAGTAATGCTAATGAGTTATGCTAATGAGCTCCTGCACCTTTTTTCCTACAAAATGACCCCAGCCAACTCCATGTTTGGAAATACGTGAAGATTTGAGGGTGGAGCCTGGCAGGGGAGGGGCCCTGGGAGGGTATGATACTATGCAGTCCACCATCCAAAGCAGCTATTTTCTCCAGGAGCACTGATGTTTTAAATAAATAATAAGCTATCTCTGTAGACTGGAGATCAGTTGCAATTCTGAGAGACTTCCAGCCCCCCACCTGGATGTTGGCACAACTCTGCATTGTTCCCTCCCAAAGCCATTTTCTACATGTTTGCAAAGAGCGCCACCTGCACAGCACATCTGCAACAAAAAGTCCTCTTGCAGGAAGGCTATGAAATGGCATCAGCTCAGGGACTCAGTAAAGATTTTGGACAAATTCACACATCAGTCAGCAGCACCCTACTCGATGAGCTAGTGCCAAATGGACAGGTTTTGGTGAAAAGTACTGCGTCTGGGGTGATGTCGGATGATGGGAATGCTCTGCCTGGGACTTCCTCTGCGATGCAGATCACGTGCAGGTGGTTTGGATGAGATGAATGAGCGAACTCGCCAGCCACTTGGTAGGAGGGCCAATAATCAGTGGAGAGAAGGTAAAAGCACAAAGGTCCCTGGAATTAGACAGATCGCTGGTTCATCTAACCCAGTACAGCCTGCTCCGGTGGGCAGCAGTTCTACAGGGTCTTTCCAGACACCCACTACTTGAACATCTCGTACGAGAGATGCCAGGATGGAATTTTACCTGTGCAAAGCAGATACTGAACCAATGAGCTGTGGGCCCTCAATTCTAACTCCAATTCATTATTCACCTTTGAGCCCAGTGGCACCTTTCAGACCAACAAAGTTTAATTCTGGGTATCAACTCGTATCTGAAGAAGTGTGCATGAACACGAAAGCTTAAACCCAGAATAAAACTTTGCTGGTCTTAAAGGCGCCACTGGACTCAAACTTTGTTCTGTTGCTTCAGACCAACATGGCTACCCACCTGACTCTACCATTATCCACGTATGCATGTAGTCCAGAGATCTGTAACCAAAGAATTGGCTGCTTAGTTGGAATCGATATGAATTTGCCTTGAAGGCTCCTGAGCAGAAAGTCGCAAACGTATCTTAAACAAACACTTCAGCCTTTCCTGCCCCTTCTGCTCCTTGGCCCGTGAGACCCCACCTCCCCAGTCTGCTTGTGGTTTCTTCTCACCAACCAGGCACAGCCCCAAAGACGGATTCCCAGTACCTGCCATTCCCTCTGCTTCCTTCATCCCTTTCATGCTCAGGGCCAAAGTAGACCATACATGTGACATGAGTTGGGTTGAATCCCCACTCTGACACGGAGTCTGGCACTTCAACCACCGCTGGGCATATATGAAATAAAGTAAAACTCAAAACAATGGCCCCCTTCAGCACCCATATTTTGCCTTGTTTTCTGAGCGCATCCTATTCTTCCATTCTGCATTTCCTCCTGCTTCCACTTCCACTTTGTTTTGGGTTGTTTTCTTGTTTCTGCATTTGTTCTACAGGAATCTGCATTCAGACCGGTTCTAGCACACTGTTGCCCCAAGCTAATTAAACTCCTTTTGCTATGATTCTTTGTTCTCAACTCCCTTTGCTGCGATTCTTTGTTCTCATCTGCTTTTGAATCGCTAATCCTCTCTAAAGTAGAATTGTTTCTGCGGGTATTTAAGTACTGCCCACTGCCTTCCCGGTTCCATCTCTCCCTCTTTAGGTTGACGCTCCCTCATCGGTCTGTTTTCTTTCCCTCCTTCTCCAAAGACAAAAAGAGGATGTGTCCTCTTATTCAGGAAAACTTTAAAAAAG